GAAACGACGCAGAGTGGAGATGGCTGGTATTTTGGTGGAGTTTTGTTCTCTGAGCTGGATGGTTTGGTCGTGGAGCTTTCATCGTTCTTCTGAACGACATCATCAGCACAAACTTCAGATAGAAGATGGCTGGTAAGCCAACTCCCCATTTAACCAAGCGTTAATCAATATTTATAGTTACACAAAAGTAAGTTACAGACATGTGATGAGTAATGGATTGATAAATGTACACACACATACGCGTTCATATAAAAACAGTCAAGATTGATAAGCGATTAAATAACACGGTCAGAATGTGACTCAAGTAGAATGAATAGAATGGGCTGTCTGAAAGCTAGAATAAGGTATGTGGGCTTAACATAATAACCGACACTACAAGTTTATCACCTTTATTTGAAAGTAAATTATTCACTCACTATACTTATTCTTGCAATTAAAAATTCATTGATTGGTACTTGTATTTAATATGCGTCTATTAATTGTATCGAATTTTGACAAACTCAAGTGTTACTTTATCCAAGACACATTTTTTTTTATAAATGATGATTGCTAATAATACAAGCAGACACACATCGTCATCGCCATCATTGGTCCCGCTGAGTAGAAAGAGATCTTTTGCTTGTCATAGTTTTTAGTTTAATTGGAATATCTGTTTTTATTGAAATATATGTATGTATGAAAGAATTACTGATTAGTGTACAGTAAATAAATCTATGCATAATGTGTAAATATTTGTAATAAATATACAATTATTTCTGAATATACATTATCTTTTATTGAACTTCCAACAATTGTACAATACTGCACTACATCTGCTTTCATCGTTTTGTCTTTTTCGATAGATTGTGCAAATTTGTGTAGATTATTGAAATGCAATTGTAACTAACACTGAACAATACTAGATCCCTAATGTAATATTTTAATTTATCTCAACTATGTTTTATACATAGACCAAGTGTTGCCTGACTGTCTCATTATTATTAATATTAGTGGCTTTACTCAACATTATATTTTTGGTACAATATAGAATTCTCAGTACAAGGTTTTTTGAAAAGTTTCTTTTACAAAAAATAAAAAAGTGAAAGAAACTGATAACCCCATACATAATATATACCTATGTTAAGTAAATAAACTACCTGGAATGAAATGAAATGTTTTTTAAAGATTATTTGAATCTGTACAACTTACTAGTTAGAAACATGTTTAAGAATACAAGTTGTTGACTAGGTGAACTTTAACAACCTGTTCGTCACATAATATATTTGCTAGATAAAGTATTATAGAGCTATAATATCATTCCTTGCGTGCATGGATTCTAAAGTATTGACGTCTCGTTCTACTAGAAGATATACACGGCGAAAGATATGAGTGGAGGAGATGGTTAGTATCAGATAAGATAACACCTGCCAGGAGTTCGCAAGATTCTGGATATCTATCCACAACCATATTATTAATGACCTCAAAAGATTCACCCTGCTTACCACCATCAGCACTCTCTGCAATACAGCAATCTTTTCTCAAAAACCAGAGAAGAAAAAGATGAAAAACTATAAAGAATAATAGGTAATGTGCAAGAATTGACAAATTGTAAGAGTAAATATCGAGTAATCGCAAAAGCATGCAGCGTCTTTATGTAGTAAGTCAGATGGGAAACCTTCTTCGATAGCAGCAAAACATGAGATCAAGAGAAATTAGAGGAAAAACTTGCACCAAAGTAAATGACTTTTGACACTGTTTATCAATGAATCCCCAATAGTATAAGCTTTATGCGATTCCAACAGAGTGTTTAGGTATTGTTCATATCTCCTGTTAAAGTTAACAGTTTGACGTTTAGACGGGAAAAGTGTGAGCTCATTGACAACAGACCATCATTCCATACAAGACAAGAACTCATTCATTTCCAGGGAATGCAAAGAGGCAGAAATCGGCATACGTACAGTGAGATCCTCTGCATATCTCACAAACGTGTTTTCTGTAGAAGATGGGAGACCATGCATAAACAAGAGAAAAGTGGAAAAAGAACAGCAGTAAAGAGATCGAACACTCCTCCAAACACGGTGTACTGTTCTTCCAGACATGTAGGAACATAGCTAGTTGGTTATCCAGCTGTCAGTGTTGACGCTGATTAACAGGATAGGTAGTTGTCTTGGAATGTAGTCAAAGGCAGAAGTATAGTCTAAAAAATCTCATCAAACATACTTCTTACTCTTTCCAAGCTGAACACTATATTATGATACAGAACAACAACGGCATCCAGTGTGCCTCTTTTGAATTTGTGAGAAAACAAATACAAGTCAATGTGCTTTTTTAATGCAGGTTGAAGTGGGAGTATCAATAATTTTCCATTGTTTTGAGAAAAGGTGAAGTTATTGCTATAGGTCTAAATTTCACATTTGTATCGCCCTGATACTTTGTTAGGTATTGGGATTATCTATATCTTTTCCCACATTTTCTGTATGAGATTAGTTGGGAAGGATCTGTTTAAGATGCTCTTGAATGGATAATACAGAACATCAGCAAACGTTTTAGAAAGGAGGTTTGTAATTTCCACAGGTCCTAAACATTGGGAAGAGTTAAGTGACTAGAGACATTTTCGGACATCAGTTTTAGTGATGATTTAAACAGTACTATTCTTTAAGCCTGTGGATATAGGGAGCATGAAATCAGATGACTGACGTACAAAAGATTTATATAGGTCACAAATATTCAATTGGTTATCGCTCCTAATGTGCCTGTTACCTGTAAGTCCTTCAAACAGTTTCTACATACTTGAAGAGATTTTAAAGGATAGTAGTTTCTGAGTAAACATCATCAGTCATACATTAAGTATCACTTACTACCAGCTATTGAGCAAAGCAAACAATTTTATAAAGTTTTTATCATGTCATTACCTTAATACTTGTCTCGTTTTTCAACCTATTAATATTTTGCAGCATTTTTTTCTTAAACTTTAGAAACTCACCTATCCTACTAAAAAGGGGGGTAACAATCCTCCTGTCCTAGAATTTTTTTTTTAAAACGTCTTGGTTTTTTTCTGAAATCAAATATGTATTTTTATTAGGTGCAAAGAGACACTTAAATGTATGTTATCTTTTTCATCAAATTATCGAAATGAATGTGTTTTGAGGACATGAATCGTGTTCATGTATGATCACTGTCACTTAATTGGTGTAAGCATACCTTTTAGTGAAAATACGTATATTATTATATGTTGTACCAGTGGTATTTTCAATTAAATAACCGTGTCATAACGACTAATATTTCTGTTTATCTAATTTGTATGAAAAAAATGCAAGTTCCCTCCAACCCCGTGTTAGTTTTTCTCACACAAATATGTTTGCATAAGTATGAACCAATAAATAAGCCTTCGCATTCCAGTTGAGTGTTGTTAAATAAAGCATTATTGAATACAAAAATTACCAGATCGGTTTGATAATTTTCATGTTATTAATTATTTCGACGACAGGTTGGTATTTAACCTTGACCATTTTATTCTGTTAGTTTTCGACAGTTCTAAAATCTTTTTTTAGTAATTAAATAAATCTCAGTGTATTTTCTATGTATTGGCGTAAAGTTTAATATCTTATAAATATCTTCATGCAGTTTCTTCATTAAATTCAACCTTTGGTTAAGAAAAAGTTGATGTGATTTTTCGAGGCAAGTACTATTGAAATGCACATGAAGAAACCGGTAAATATCGATTTTTATCATCTTGTTTGTTGATCAAGTTCAGTTACACAATAAAATCAACATCTTTCTGACAATTAACTTTGAAAGATACGGTTCATTTCTCTTTTTCTGTCAAAAATTCTGATTCAAGTAAAGACATCTTTAGTACCTGTTCCTTAATATTTCTCTGTTTTCTATGTATATGGCCTTTGGTAAAACATGTTACGATTTCCTCGAATTATTGTTCGAGCAATATCTATGTTATCTTTAAGCTATCTAAAGCAAAGTAGTGATAAGAACGGTATGGTTGTTGTGTATCTTTTTACATTTTAATAAACAACTGAGTATATTGAGGCTTCCCACTGGTCCACAATACTTGCGAATTAAGGAGCGATTCACCTATTTTTATTTGTAAAGTGTTGTTGCGGACTTGATAACCGCAATTAGTACACTGCACTTCAACAATTACCCGTTATCACAGGAAAAAAGATGAAGTGTTGGAAAAACTTGATCTTCTAGCAGAACATTTTGAATTTGTGGAAATGTATATATAGTAACGATAGTATGACCTTCAAGGATGCAGAAAATAAACGGACTAAAATTAACGGCAAGCAATCAAAGGAGAACAGAGTTCATGCGTAAAATTGGATTGGAAGAAAATCATTTGTGGTTGAGTACTTTCCGAGTCAAGTTTATTAAATATTTCAGCTCGACAGGTTACAGAATACATTGAACTCTCCTTATTTGTTTAAAAAAGAATGTGTTCTTAAAACAGCTATAACATTACCTAGCATCCTGGTTAAGCTTAATTCCATCGATTTCTTTCGGGTTTCGCAACAAATGTGAAAACGCCTGTTCAGAACACATCACTAATCCTAACTTATAACTAAATGTTCCCGGTAGAAAATTGGCGCTAATACTAGATGGAAAGGTCAGCTAATATTATAACATTGAATAGCTACTGAGGTTTCAGCGTAAGAATAATTAACTGATATTAAAGATGTTTTGTAGTACATAAAGTGAAGAATAGTCATTAACACCCCGAGATTTTGCATTAAGGAATGAATTTTAAAAATATGGTCCCTACCAGACCGACTGTGTATTTTAATTTACATTTAATTTTCAAAAGAACTCAAAATATATATACACTAGAAGAATGAATAGATTTTAGATTTTACAACACTTATACGTTTTTAGCATTCGACATTCAAGTGTCCCTGAAATGGATTAATCTAGCTGATTTAAAGATTTAACACTGTTTAAATCCAACTGTGGTTATTTTCAAAGTTTTCGTTTTGTTATCACTTCGAATGATTTTCTTTTATCATTAGTTTCAAATCCTGCGGAATTTGATATATCATCAAATACACCAACTCCATCGGATTCAGCAAATTGCAACAGTACTTTATATCATAAACAAAATGTAGAAGTAACTTTAACGGAACCTGTTTCTTTCTCATTGGTAACTGCATCCACACTATCTGTAAGTCGCTTTTTTAATGTATATTTACAGGATTTTTAGAACTGAAAATATCTGTATAAAAGTTCTAAAATTCCGTACACATTACATATTACAGAGTCTCATTGATTTTAATTAAAATTGACATTTTATTTCACGGCGTCTCATCAACTGTAGACAATCCAATTTACAACTGGTCAATCAATCCCAAAATCGCGAAACTGAAATTTAAAGGTCATAAAGAGAAAACATGAAATCAAATTATGAATCACTAGTTGTGACAATTTTTGACTAACCGGGCAATTAGAATAACCTACAACTTGAAACGGTACTCCTTCAGTATATCATCTGTGAAGTAACTAAGTAGGTTAAATCATATGATTGGAAGTTTCACAGCTGTACTTTTTGAACTTGTAGTCATTTTATTAGGCTTGATAATTATTTCCAGATTAGTTTTAATCATCACACTGATATGTAGCTATTAAAGGTTTGAGCATGTTATTCTTTATCGTATGGTGACCGGTTCAGTAAAATTGTGTAAACCACAAAGCTTTGGAAATAACAAACCATTAAGACATTTCGGAACTTTTGTGTGCGTTACATAACAGGATACATCACTTATAAGCTGTAGAATGTTGAATTTGTACAGCAAATTAGAAACACCATAGTGTTTTTGGAAGTTAAACCCGTCTTATTACCTCCTTGACTTTTAGCCAAGCATTCAAATGACCCATCAAATACAGCCAACTGTTTCTGTTTTGGAGGATATTAAGCCTACTGGTTTTATACATAAGAAAATAACTCGTCCAGAACACTTTGCTGTGAACAGATCACTTGGACAAGAGGTAACATATGTTTCAAAAATTGTTGGAGATTCCCCCACATCAACACCTACATTTCTAGGTGAAACGACTTCGCATCTTTCGTCGTTACCCAAAACAAGACATGTATCAAAGCAGAGAACATTCCATATTCATCCCAAACTGCCTGAAACATGGGATGATATTCCCTCTCATACATCTGGTATTCGAGGTTCATTTCCCGCAAACTATAAACAGAATTCAGTGTTCAATGTTCCTCCACAATCTTACCCTCTATATACTACAGATTTGTGTAAATCAAAACAACTAGATTCCTTCCGACCCCATGTCCCTCCACGGCCTATTCCTAAAGTAACTCGTGCTGCACCCCAGTTTAGTGGATTCACTACGACGGTTGAATCTGAATCACGTCCATCCATCTTCAGTTCAAGAAACCAAACGATTCCAGTTAAGTCCGATTCACTTTCCGATACAACAAAAAGCAAGTCCCTACGTGTCTCAGAATCCGATATTTATGTCAACACTTCGAACATTCGTTCTTCACCACAACCTGATGCATTGATACCGATGACTAAAATTAAACTGAATGGTGATGATAAACAAAGCATCACCGAAGATTTTGTTAATGACCACGGTTTGGAAAGATCATCTGTTAAATATGCTTTGAGGTAAGCTCAATATAAGTTTGTTAAATGTATGTGGGGTGTCAGTTAGTGTAACCAGTACATTTTGTCGTATATTTGTATCCCAGAATTTAGCTTATCTGTATTCTTGTATGTCTTTGTTATCAGAGATAGAATCTGTAGTCTCATTGTAATATTTTATTAGCGAAATCCATATAGAACAAATTATTTTTTTAACCAGACCTTAGTCACTTTTCAGTAGTTTCAGTTATCTGTTTATTAATCTTACTGACTTAAATATTAGGCTGTTTACTGCGCTAATTATTTAGTCATACATAACCTTGGTAGCGTCATTTCTAAAGAGGTCCAGTTACACATAGGGTCATAAATGTATCGACTTAATACTAACTGCAAGTAGATGTTTAAACGTAAAAACTAGAGCCAAGTACCCAAACCACCGCTACTGAATAGCACAATATTGTTAATCATATAGTCATTCGATGAATGCATATATATGTAAGGTCGTCGTTACATAAGAGTAATTTGTCTAGAATGCTAACTGTTAGCATCTCACTTCTGGCTATATATATATAATCACACGAAATTGTTTGATTGATCTGAAAGAAAAAAATCGAATTGATTTTTCATTCAATACAATTATAACGCTGTTGCTTTTCCCCTTGTAATTGCAGGTCTTCTGATGAAACTGAGAAATTTCCACTGCCAGTACATCAAGTTTGCGAAAATTCGGAGGTTGAAGTACCACCAATTCCCCCTCGGACGCCACGCGTGCGAATAGTCGATATTAATCAATTATGCGCAGCGTGTAATTCCAAACTAGGTAATCTCAATAAACCGATATATTTAGTTCATATGCTTAACAATTTATCTATTACATTTTAGAATCACTAATAGTTTTATGCCATCACATAAACCTGACAGTTATGAGCTAAAATAATAAAGTAAGATAAAATAACTTTTATTTGTAGCTTGGACAAGCTTACCAGTTGTAGTGAGCTACTTTCCTGAGGATCACTTATTTGCTGGTACATTTTCCCACAACTCTTGCAACTAAAATATTTGCCGGTCATCCTACTTTATATCCTGTGTAACACTTGTTTGTTTTGTCTGCACAAATCCTGCATTTACAAGAACTCAAAAATTTTCCATAGTATTTGAACCAAGTGGTTTACTAGTGGTTAAAAGACTCGAAACTGCTAATCACCTGGTTTGACCCTCTTTTTAGTTGCTTTGTTTTGAGGACCTCAGTAATTGTACGAGATTTATGTTGAGTAAAATGAAAAGTTCGTTTAGAAATAACTACTAATATATGATTACTATATGGAAACTAGATGATGAAAATAGTCTGAACAATGATCGACTGTTAAGCCAAAAAATTAAGAGTAGACATGACAGTTTGAAAAAACTTCATGCGCACTTTCAATCTCTACGAATAACAACCTTACACTTGGCCTGTAAGATTCGATTGCTATGGATTCTTAAGCTTTTATCAGAATGTATGCGTTAAGATTTATCCTCAATTATACTTAGTACCAAACTTCAGGTTTTCGTAAAGATTTAAAACATTTATAGGGACATATTTCAACACCCTTCATTTGAGACTCCTGTGTTTAAAATTAAGAAACCTAACTACATTTTAAATCTCAAAACTCTATCTCCGTAAATGCTTTTCTTTTCGAACGATGTTCGTTTTTTGTTCTAGATTGTCGACAGATGCAACCTTTGTAATTTGAGTATTTTGAACCAAACGTAATAGCCTCGCGGTCTTTGTTTATTTGTTGCCACTCAAAAATGAGGTTTGTCATCTAGAATAAACACTTCTAGTCTCCTATTTCAGTATGCATAATAGAGATGTTGATGCCGGAGAAATCAAGCCATAACTAACCCCTGTATTACTTAATGACATACAAAAGCCCGTTGTTACATTAAGGTTCTTTGTGTTCGTCAGACTCCATACATTCCTAACTGCCGCAAAATATTTAACAGCAATTACAGTACAGATACTAACGTTAGAGATCCCAGCTAGGTTTCAGTTTTTCGAGTTATCCATAGCTATTATAAACATCCACAGTTTAGTTTGTGTATAAATTAACAGTCTCTTTCATCGCAGATCGATTAAAATGATTTACTTCATTTACTTTTTACACAGATTCTGAGGACTCAATGGTTATTGAATCCTTAAATCTATACTATCATTTACCATGTTTTGTATGTGCAAGATGTGGAATTGCGTTAGGCGATGGTCTATCAGACGTGGAAGTTCGTGTTCGGCGTAACTTGCTTTACTGTTCACATTGTCATTCCAAGAATCTCACTGTATCGAATTATAACAAGAATGAATGTCATCCAACGATGCAAAGTGTGCAACCTAGCTCTCAACCACTAAAACCCACTGATAAACGACACCGAAACGGTTCAGAACAGCAGTTATCATCTAATTTAAATAAAGTAAGACTAGATAACATTGATTAAAATTTAAATGACATTATTATTCACCGAACCTACAATACGACTGTTATATAAGTTCTAAACTTTAGGCATTATTAAAGCATATTCACATAAGAGCAGCCTATTTTTGATATCATGACCGTAAACTAACCGATAAGAAGAAACCCAAGTCGCTGAAAGTTGGTTAGACTTATTAGGATAGCTGGAATTCCATTGTCTATATTAAGAAAATACACACATTCACTATGTAATGGGAATACGAAAATTGCAAGTAAGATTTTAGGAACATATTATTCAGTCTACTAGTCACAGAGACGAATGACTTGTTAAGTTATTCAGACGTTTCAAAAGAAGCTTACGTTGGAGACAAATTTTTAACTGATAAATTATAACAGCTACCAACGCTGCATCAAAACCTTACGTTTCCCTGGTTGTCAGACCAATTTTCGGAATTTCACTGAATGATGCACGGTTAACATGTCCACTATAAGTGTTACTTCTAATCTTTGTAAGTCTTTAGGTGTAAATATCAGAGGAGTCTATTTATAATGTAAATTCTATCCCCTCTCACTTAATTTGCGATATTATCCGCTCGATATCGATTCGCGAAAAGAAAAACGGTCGCAGTGACATCAGACAGAATATCAATCATTGAGTAGTGATCAATTGCATATTTATTTTGTTCCTTAGTCCTGGTCGAACTATATCGATCAAGTTGCAATACAGCCAATGGTTTAAGCCCTTCAAATAACTCAATGGTAAGGTCTCAAGTTGTAGAACTAGGTGACGCGGGTTTGAATCCCGCAAGGAGCACCAGTTCCCTTGAGTACGAGCGCAAACTAATTTCGGGGTTTCCTGTCGACTACCTACAACCCCTTGACTTCAGAACATTGAACTGACTCGTAAAAGAGTTTAAATATAGTACGCTAGTTTAAACCATATTTTAACCATCACCCTTTAAAATCCACAAGTTTTACACGAATTATACGGGAAAAATACTTGATCAGTCGTCAGCTTTCATCTAAATGTAAACTATTTTAGATTGAAACCCTGTGGTTATAAAAACAAGTTTTCTTAGCAATTTATAAATTTTCAGTTGATTTTCATAAGAATAACTTTTTCGTTGATTCTGGAGCGATTTGACTGCCTCATTCCAAGAAATGGATGTAACCTTACCGCCAAAACACAAATTAGTTGGCTTTCGTAAATTTCAACACAACTGTGTTATTCCTGCACTGATTTACATACAAGAAATTAATGGAAGATAAACACAATAATATCATGAAGTTAAAATCTCTATTTATTTATTTCAGCATCACGTTCTGTAAACTGCCTTCGTTTTTCCTTTGTTTTAATCAAAAGAACACAATTTCTCAATATTGTGCACTATGACTGACGATTCGAGCTTAATAACTGTGATTTCGACGAGTTCAAACCGGAAATTTAGATCACAAACAGGCTTCGTAAGATGATTCCTACTTAATCATAAATTTGAGCTATAACATGCACTTTTATCTTTCATAAAAACTGAAGCTACAATTTTGTACGCATAATTTTATTTTGCTTGGCGATATCCTCTTATTTTGCTACTATTACTTTTACAATTGATTCGTTAGTTGTCCTCTAAAATATCATTTATATATTATCATCTAATTTTCTCTATATGCGACTCTATCGTCACACTTATGTACAATCCTTTTAAAAATATCGTACTTTAAACTATATAATCGGAATATGTCCAAGATATCTTAAAATACTACTAGTGTGTGTTTATAGTAGCATTGAAATATCAAAGTGAAGATATACGACAAAAAACTAATGCTTTTTAATCTATGAAACTTTTTGGTGATTGGAATATGTTCGTCATTCAAAGTTTACAAGTTATTTCGTTCTTTAAGTGGGGCCCAAAAGTAAGGTGAACGAGATTTTTGACTTCTCCTGAATGAATAAAGAATACATATCGTGTAGTATACTAACATACCTAGGTCGAAAATGAAACCATGGAACACCGAAAGCTTTTGAAAGTTCTACTACAGTAGGCTCTGCAGAATTTTTGATGATTGTATCGGGTACATTGATTTTTAGAGGAGAAGTTGGAGTACGTAGCGATTTAATGTTATGTGAAATAGGCTAAAAAATGATAGGCTAAGAAAACCTACTTTAGTACATTCATAAGGAACTTTTCTGACTGGATGCCAACAAACGACGACTGCTCCATCGGGAGAAAGAGTTATAGCTGACTCACCACTTTAAAGTGATTTCAATAAAAATAAAAATACCTTTCCACCAATTCTTTCGACAACCTATAAGCACGGGTTGCATTGATTTGAAATGATCTAGAAAAAACATATGGGCTAACATTAAATTAATTGTGAATACGTGACATAAAAATATTCAGTTACCAATAAATAATGCTGTTTATTTACTTACTGGAATATAGTCTACATCTATGGTGTGAAGTCCAGTAATACAATTTAGTCCCATGAACCTTAGAAAGTTAGGCTCGAGTATGCAATCCATCGGTTGGAAACAATGCTCAAAACTATTGAGCAACATCGCCATGCATATTTAGTGACAAAATAGTTTTAGTGATCATTGTTCCACCTACAAGGTGGTACAATAAGGTTCGTATTTGTTGTAACGAATGAAGTAGCACATAATAGATGTAGCTCACAACTTAATGGATATGTTTTTCCTTCGTACAGAACTCAAGTTGCTTTAAACAATTTTTTGTTACATCAGACATCGATGTACTCCTATGGATCATCTGCACTGCACGCCTACACTATAGTCTAAACGCTTACAGATGGATCACTCACTAACCAACAGACGATTATTAGCTCGATCAACGTAAAGAAAGAATCTCTGAGAATGAACTGTAAGAATAAAATACACACCGAAATTTGGCGCTCGTGTATTCTGAGACAAAATTCCACTCAAATACTCTTGATTTGCCTTTCACTTAGATGAGAGAGATATGTAATACAAAACAACACAACCCACAATAATAGCTCTGGATGTCCATCAATTCTCCAAACTTTTGGAAGACATCTGCAGTTGGATTTGCTATCAAATTATGTAGTGTACAGCATCAAAAGCTGATTGTCTGTGTCAGTACTTATTAGAAGACTTATGCTGCATGTTCTGCTCAATTATATGGTTTCGTAGGAAATACATACTTGAAAAATTCGTGGCAGAACTGTAGTGTTGGGATGAGACAAACTTTAAGCCCTTTATAAAAGTCCTGAGAAATTTACGATCTTTTTCAAACAGGAAATAAAAGTATGTATAAGTACAGCGTGTGGAAAATTAATTCTACCAGCATTTGTGTGTAGGTTTCAAACTAAACTGATAAACTAAAAGCTGGAATGAAAGCCATTTTACTTTCGAAAGAAGACTTTAAATCATAAAATGAAGTCTCACAGATCCCATTTATTAATATCTTCCTAAAAACTAGTTAATTTATAAGAGCCTAACAGTTTTCTACCTTTAGATAGATTTTATTTAAACAATATTGAAAAACTGTCTTAAATGGGACAAAAGCAAAGCAAGCAGTAGTCTGTAGTATCTATTTGTACGGGTAAAAATCATTTGGACAGGCAGTTTTCGCTATTCTTATTTCTAGCACATTAGGTCTTCCCATAGTTTCGAAGTGCAATAATATGGACTCATGTTTCTTTCTAATCTACCAAGATGAAAGTCTACAACTTACCTACAAATGAATGTTTTCGATATCAGCATTTCAGATAAAACTACCCTTTGCTAGACTAGGCAGCTAAAACGAAGAAAAAGGTAGGGCTAGTCATTACAAAAAATACTGCACATTAAAATTTATTGGAATACATTTCATTCCATAAGCAAGCAAAATGAAAGCACCCAATACATCAATTTTCAGTAAAACTTCAAGATAGTAAAATATACACATATGTGTTGCCCTATTACCTTTTTAACTGGGGATTTAGCTGTTTAGACAACTAACTGCCTTTGTTTAGACACTTATCTGTTATTATCATTTGTGAGCATCACTCGACTAAATATCGGTAACTGCTCCCACCACTACAAATCAAATATAGTGAGGCCACAACTTATGAACAATCTTCGAGTAACGCTGAAGTGACCTTAAGGCAACTCACCTACTTAGTAGGGTTATAAATTAGTAGTACGATTTAGAGTTGGAATTCGGGGTGGGGAATTAGATAGAGTTTCCATCACGAACTGACATCAGGCATAATCCCAAAATGCAATTTAATTATGTAGATGGGTGGTTTTCACGCCGGAATCCGAAATTTGCTATCCTTAATTCCATTGTTTTGTTCATGAATTGTAGTCTCGTCGGAAATGGTAAATGTGAAGTCTAGTATGGCGTCTCATAGTAGACCAAACTCACATCACTGCAGCTATGAAAAGAATACTAACAGACGGCAATATAAAAGCAACAGAAAGCGAATCAAATTAAAAAAGATGAGAAGCGCAGAGAGTAACACGAAACAGATTGTTGCACAGATTTTATCATTGAGTAAGCATGCATGTTACTTGCTCAAGAAGTGATGTTAGTAAAAGCGAATACTCTCCCAAGTTCAAATTACCAATACGTTGACCAAGGCCTCAATAAGTCTAAACGCTTTGGATCACTATTTCTTCCTTTTTATTTGTTTGTTATAGTTTTTTTATTTTGAGAAGTTAGATAATTAAACTGTTAACATTGTAACCCTACTACAGGTTAACATTGAACACCAGAATAGCAGCTTGATGACATTTTGACTATCTCTTTATGATCGGCTAATTCTTCTATTCCTTTGTACATATATATCTTCGGCTCGTATTTGTGAATATCAACCCTGTTACTCATTACTATTCTTAATTCAGCAATGAATTTTTGTATTAATTACTCCAGCTTCAAAAGTACCAACATAATTCCAGTACCGTTGTACATATAAACACTAACTTAGACAACTTATGTACAGATTCCCAGGAACTATTTGTTACGTATTACAGATTGTTGACATGTTAAACGTAGGACGTCTAACCTTGAGATACGGGGTAGATTTGGACTAGCCGCTTCCCAATATATCCAATGTCTTTGTGGCGAGCTCGTACAAACTGATTGATATTACTCAATTGGTACTGTGTACGAAGATAAAATTGAACAAATAAGTTGAAGAAAGAAGATGATAATAAGAAAGTTAGAGCATAGTTGCTGAAATGCGGCGATGATGGCCGTGGCAATTTGTAAACGTGCGTCAAACACAGCCGGTCCATGAGAGAAATTGTAATCCATTGGTGAGTGCGTGTTCGTCAAAACTTCTCTTGAAGCTATCAACTGATGGAGCTATAGTCACTAAAATTAGCTTATTCATGTAGACCCGATCGACTTTCGAATGAAGTTTCTACTGAATCTAGTTTAACTCATCATGACAGAGAGTCATTGTCGGAGATTTATTGATTATTTTGCCGTGGACTAAGCTGTTAGACACTATAGAAAGGCTTTCCACGGGGATACACTGCTCACAGCATGAAACTTCATCTAAAAATTGCTGAGAGCACTATAAAGGAATATAGGATAATTGATTGTATTATGAATATATCAATTACGGAAACTACTGAAATCTTATCACATGTTTACTAACATATTTGTTGCACCTAGAAAAGCCAACATACTTTCTTCAAGAGTGGCCGAACTTATTTTAGTTAGGGTACATTTACATTTACAGAGTTCAAAGGTATAATTGGGAGTTCGTCGATATGTTGGTAAGTATGTGATCTATGATAACCAGCTGTTTCTATAAATGCACAGCACAGCGCTCCCAATATTTGTCTGGTGCTGACGCTTGACCGAGCGAACTCATCAACGGTTTGTTCAGTGTATCGGCATCAATATTCAAGGCTTACAGAATTGTTTATTTTAGGGCTTCATTTAATGCTACGCTATTAATATTGCTCTAAAAAGAATTCATCAGTAAAGCCAATGAGGATTGAGACAAAACGATGACAATTCGTTACTACAATAAATATATTATTGTTAAATTTCAGGTAAGATGAGAACCGGCGATTTCAATCTGGACTGGGTTAGGCATGAAGAGCAGCACAGACCTACCTTCAACTAAAGTATCTTTTGTCTTCGGGACGTATTCGACTACGAAATATATTCTTAAGTTCGAACTTCTAGATTTCACAGAATTACAACATCAAACAAAGCAGTGTCAAGGTCAAGCAAAATCCAAAACCGAGTGGTAATTTATTGATTTTTGTTGCAAATCAACCAAAATATTTTTCTTCACTACAATAATGGAAACAAATCAATTACAAACCTTCAGTGTCTAAGCATTCTAGAGTTCAGGTGAGAAGGAAGGACCAAAAAGCAGGGATGAAAGCAGGAGATCAAAGTCAACGTCATGAACAAAACAAGCTCCTTGCTGGCCAAAATAAATGTGTTAAAGTAGCGTTGAAAAGGGATTATATTTACGTTGACACTTCAGCATTCAGTTTTCAGTAATCGTAATAGTAGAGTGACTGATCTGTAATAACTCCTCGAGTTTGTTTCACATCCGGTTTTCGACTTACTTTTGGAAGTGTTCATTAAAAGAGTTGACATCACTCGTTCGAGTTTAGTGATTCAGTTACTGACCACTTGATAAAAAGAGCATTTTTTAAAATTTATGCACTATGAACTTTGGCCGGGGTGACACGTTTGAGTTTCAGTCACTTTGGTGCTTTAAGTTTAATACTTCCTTATATAAATTAAGTACATACCACTTTTAGTATGACAAATGCGAAGTTTCGTTTCGTGTGATAATTATGTTGCCCATATCA